ACGGAGAGGGGGGGCGTGCGGAGCCCCGCCGAGCCCAAGACTAAACACTTCGAAAGTTAAATCCAACTCACACGCCCCAGCACCGGTGTGGTTGACACGATGCCGATTAGTTTGCGTTTATGACGTTTTCTGACGTTTTAAGCGCTTACTGTACGCCCGAGAAGCGATTTCTCGTGGGAGAGACGAAGCGTATTTGTAAGCGTGGGGTGTCTGTGAAGTTACACCCCTGATTCGAGTCCGGGACACCCCTCCGAGAGCGAGCCGGGACGCGGGGGCCGGTCTCTCGCCGGGAAACATGCTCCTTAAGTGACTTTGGCACAGGGAAAACGTCGGCGTAGAAGCTGTCATATTGATGGCCTTGGACACTCCATTGTCCAGACTGGACAATAAGTTTTTTTTTTTAAAGGGATATAGATTTAAGTACCGAGGACAAAACCTAAATTCCATACATGGTATGCTTTCCCCAGCGTTACAAGTGTAATGTTATAGGGTTAGAAACTTGTTGCAATATGCTACTGTGTTGGGAAAAAGTGTCTGTAGTGTTTACTCAGTCTGTGAAAATATTGAAGCAGTACTTACCCACTGCAAAGTCAATAAAACTGTATCACACTAAAAACAACAAAAAGTGCTTCACACATTGATATTTCTCAAGAATTGTCTGCCAGAATGCAGCAGTGTAAAAATTATTGCTAAAACATCAGCATTTACTTGTTGCAAAATTCAAGTAACCATGAAGCCCTGTTTAATAGTACACACAGTTTTTAATGTGTTAATGGTTTGGGTTTCTTCAAAGTGTATTACTTTTTGAAGTCTGGGTGTTTCTATTTGTGCAGAAAATAGACTGAGAAGCTTTGAGCTCCTACTGTTACAAAAGTTAAAAGGAAACAAAGTTGAGCTGCTAAGTCGGCAGTCTGGAATGAGTCAATAGTATCTCCTTTGTCCTGCTAGCTTTCTCTGCTGTGGTGTATCTTTGCTCTATTTCCTCTGCACAAGCAAATGAGGATTTCTACCCTCAGCATATTTAATAGCCTTTATAGAACTCCTGGCTTCTAAATATTCTTATCTACCAGTAATATTTGAATGTCTGCCTTTCCTAGCTGTATACGACAGTCATAATACCATCAATGACAGTATGCTCACTTCTTTAACCACATTTTCCATTATCTATAATTAACGGACCAAATTATTCTTGCTTTATTGTAGTAAGCCTCCATAAAAGAAATCAATATGCCTTTTTAAAGCATTCTATCATCTTGATTTTTTGTTTGGTTTTTTTTTTTTTAAAGATTGGGCCAGAGACATGTAGATGTAGATAATTCCCCTCCCCCCCATTTTACTTGGGGATTCCCTGGGAGTCTCAAAGGGCAAGGAGGTAACATAGCTGGCTTTTACAACAGGATGACAGGACCTGACACAAGGTCACAGAGAATCTATGCTTGGCTAGCCCTGTGCTCCAGTTTTGTTTAGCTGGTAGCTAGTCCCTTGAGGGATCAATGTCAACTTAAGCATGCTAACTTCTACAGGCAATGGGTTGGCCAGTGCCCGAGAGAGTTGTGACTGGCTCCTGCAGGCTCCCTACTTCTGCCGCACTTGGAGCTTGAGTGTTGGCTGCCAGGCTGCCTTCGTGGCTCTGGAGCTTGTCACAGAGAGAAATCAAAGTGGCAACAGTAGAAAGCAAGCCCCAACACTGTCTGTTTTCTGAAAACAAAAGGTGGGTAGATGTATTAGGTGGATTGACAAAGCAGCTTGGGCAGGGATGTGGCTTAATTGACTGAGGCATAGAAACTGGAGCCAACTCCCATCACCATGAGCTAAGTTTCTGTGTGCCCTCAAATTCTGGCCTTGAATTGGTATTAGTTGTTCCATAGATCTGTCACATTCCCAAAGATGATAAACAAATGTCAATTCAATATTCCACATGTAAAAGTATTGGTGTTCAGCAATTAAAATATCAGCATACTTTCTCTGTATTACATATGTATATCCTAAATTAACCCATTAAGGGAACATATATGTGTGTGTGTATAAATCTATGCACACACACATACACACCTTCTCATATTGATAGCTTTTACTGGTTTAACTATCAAAAAGCATTGGAGATTAGAGTTGGATTACTAGAGTTCAAAGAAAAGTGAATTTGTATTAACTCACTGGGAAGTTGAAACTTGTATTTTAATATATACAGTACATAGTTTTATTTATTTTTATGTTAGAGTATGAAGGCTTTATAGGTCTGCAAGATCAAGATAATTTTTTTGTTTATAAAAATAAGATTTGCTTACGATTAATTTATCTAAGTATGCTTTTCTTTTGATACTTGAAGTACATAAATGAGTAGTTTAGCACATGATTATCTGAATGACCATTCCTTTCCTTTTTCACACTTGAAAAAGATTATCAGTCAACTCCTGCTGTAGTGTTGTATCTCTGACCACTCTGACTGTACCATTTGGTGCCTGATACTTTTTAACTTTTTTTGCCATCTAAGTCTGTGCTTCACCCACCAGTTCTTTTAAAAAAATGCAGTCCCATAATTCCCGATGATAACAAGCAGTTTTCTCTGGTGACCAGAGAAAATGTTATGGATTTCTAAACCTTTCCTTTAAAACTCTAAACATATTTATATCTTTTTATTTGTAAAGGGTGTTATTAACTTGCCTTTGGAAGTTTGACTGATTCAGACAGCATAGTTTTCCTGGTTCTGCAAGCAGGCAGTTCCAGTGTTTCAGCTTCTGCACAGTAGCACTTTAACAAGCAGCAGCCATGCATAACTAACAAGACTGCAAGTCCAGTTACTGCTTTTTAGAAGCCTCTACCCAGCTCTTATGTTATCCAAAGTGTCCATTTTATGTTGTTGCAGCCATATGACAAAACTATTAACAGCAGGAAAGTGCAGTAGTTATTTACAATGAATAAGATACCGGGGGGAGAAAAAAAAGTTTAAAAAAATGGAGCCTGGGGCACAGGAAGAAAGCAGCACAGCTCCAGCTATCCTTTTATAGTAACTGGTGTTTTGTGGAAAGTGGTTAAGAAAAGAAAACTCTCTCTTCCTTCAGCAGTTAGCCAGTGATGGCATGATCCTTCTAACTGAAGACTGATAGCATTCTTGGACAAACCTTTATGCAGGTTTCATTTCTAATATTTGGAAATGAGCAGTATTACTTTCCTCAGTTCCTTCTCTTAAACCTACTTCTGGATTCCGGGTCTTATCCTCTAGCTATATTGATAGATCTGTGATAGAACAGTTTCAAATTTGGCATTAATGCTTCATAAAAAGCAATATATATTTATGAATATTTTTAAGCACTAGTTTTCATTCATATTTTATACACGTACAGCTAACATTCTGAGTAAGTATAGATGATATTAGCTAATCAGGGCATTACTTCAAAATGTGTACATAATGTGTACATAACATACACCTGGCACAGATTAAAAAAGTGCTCTCAGCATGGATTACAGGTACAAACAAATATTTTATAAAAGAGGAATGGAAATTAGGAAATCAGTAGTAGTTCATCAGATGAGAAATATGCCTTTAGACTGCATGAAGAAGTAAAAAATAAATGTGCTGAGAACTAGGCAACACTAGCTATCAAAACAGAATATCGAGACCACTGTACTTTTTCAGGACTCTTAGTATCCTCATTTTGGGCTGAATGTGGTATTTGCATGAAAATCTTTTCTTATAAAACAGTAAATTTCACAAAGATTCCACTGTATGACAGTGTACTGATTGGCTGTCACAACTACTGACTAAATATTAATTTTGGTAGTCTTTCCAAGTTAAATCTATAAGCTCCTATATCTGGATAACTTTTAAAAACCTATCCACAAGTGAAACTCTCAACAAAACAATTTCCTGACTTGCACATTGTCCATCCTCGTTTTAAAAGATTTGTTTAGTAATTTCTTTAATCTGTCAATTTTACTTTTATTAGTTGGATGGAGAAATATTAGATAGTCTCTTTTGATTTGAAGTGCATTTCATCTTAGCTTTACAACACTAAGCAGAGTGACAAACACTGCAGACTAACTAACTACATTAGTGCAATCACTTTGGTTTCATAACTCCTACAAATTTCAATCCCTTACAAGCAACGATTTACATACCAGTGAGGGAAAATGAAAATGAGGGGGAAGCTCATTATGACAATGTAAAGTGTATTTAGTTTCTCCTAACACAGACTAGATTAAACCTGGCCTATGTCATAAGAAATGTGAAGGGTGAGAGCAGAGGGTACCTTCTCATTATGGTCATGCACAATTAATGCTCTCTTCACTCAATAGAGAAAACCAGACCCAAAATGGGAAGAAGGATCTGGACTATTATTCTTTCACCTCTGCTCTCCACCCCCACCCCTTGAGCTGTAAAGAAAGGATCAGGTTGCACTATTTTAAAAGCTGGTGCAGTACACACACTTCCTCAGTATATTGGCAAGCACTGGGAGAAAATCTCTTTCAGAGCTCCCCGCAGGAGTTCATACTGCTTCATAACATCCTTTAGCTAGGACCGTGACTTATCAACAAAGCTGAGCCTTCAACTGAGCAACAAAAACTTCTCCCAAAAAAACACACAATATTTTTAGGGACATATATGAATAACGATATTATTGAAATAACTTACCTTTGACACATGGCTTTGAATGCTTCACACTTGATGCAAGTCATAAAAACAACTATCACAATAGGTCAGCACTACAGGTAAAGTAGACCTGTAAATAAATTAAAAAAGAAATTAAGCAACTTAGGATAATTTCCTGAACACGCTAAATAAACTGAACTGATTAACGCACTAAGAATATAATCACTTTTATCCTACCATCTGAGTGCAGATTGCTACTTATTGGTCTTACAGACACTTCAAGTTAAATCATACTGCTGATGTTAAATCTACATCAGAGTGGAAGATGGATGGTGTTTTGGCCAAGGTTTGGAATGGGAGTTTAAACAAGGGCCATAATCCTGTCCTCAACTCAGAATTTCACCACTGGCTTTTTGATTTTAAGATAGGGACAATTAAAACTGTTCCATCTCTCACTGAATCTAAGAGACAATGCTTATAGGATGCACCAATACCACACATCCTAGGGTTATAAAAAGCCTAAAATAGGTAAGATCTGAAATAAGTGAAAAATCTGAAACAGTTCCTGAGGCAAGGCACCTAGTTAGCTGTGACTACTGAATGTCAAAAGGCTAATCCAGCTATGAAGATCTCTCTTAAAGGAGTTCTCATGTTGTATCATATCCCCACATAAAAAAGAAACCCAAAATTACAGTGACTGAAATCCTCACCAGTCTTCCACACTCTTCACATTAGATATGAAGACCTGAACTGGGAAGGGGCACTAAAAGCCTCATATCTCACCAGGGATCCTCCTGGAGGAACTATGGAAGGAAGTCATGAGCCTCCTCCTGTTGGAATAGGGGAAGTTTTGGATGCAGTGGAAGAGTCAGTACAAAGCACTGCATGAATGCTGGGCTGAGTCAGTGGCACTTGGAGGCTAGAAGGGCTGTCAAGAGGCCCAGCAGCGAGAAGGTATAAATCCTGTTTAATCTTGCCTCAGCCACTTCTACTTGAGCTCTGAGAGTTTTACAAGGAGTAAAATCTCATTCCAGGCTTAAAAGAAGCTTGAGGTCTATAGATAAAAAGCTGTATGTTACACCTAGGTATTACAATTTTAGTTGTTAATAATACACAGTTTCAACATATAGACTGGCAGATACTTCATTTGAAAGTAAGAATTAAAATCATGACAGGTTGTGTCATATGACAAAAAATTTACAGGTAGTAGCAAAATTCTCCTTTTCTCATGCATAAGAGTCATCCTTCTAAAGGGAGAGCCTGCTGGAAACACGCAAGAGGCACATGAAAATGGAGGGAGAGATAAGAAGTTTAATGGAAGATATTGAGTTGGATGACTGAAGTCTTCATCAAATAAGAAAGCAGTCTCCTATCTACTTTCTGATGGTGTGTAAATGAATGAATCAAAGCCCACACATTCTCTTGCAAATCATGTCACAAGGATTCTACCTGTCTATGCCCCTGAGGTCATGAGTGACTATGTATTGACCTCTGACAGACTCCTGCTGCCTTTCCTTTAATGCAGCGAGCATACACCTCTCTAACCACATGAGTGCTATACATCGCATACTGCCTACCCTTCCTTTCTTTTAGCGATTTATACTCCCCAAAATTTCCTATAATCCTGTGTATTTCTCTACAGCCTTTCCTGAACTGAGAAGTTTCTTGATACTTAAGCAGATGGGTTAAGGAATAAGGAAAAGCATAAGAAGATATTATTACAGGGAGAGTCCCAGCAACTTTTCAGAAAAAGGAATACTTTATTTCAAATAAAATAAAATTGTTTTCAACTGAAAGAGGCTCATGTTCATATTATCACTAAAACTTTTGCTGAAAGGGGAGAAAACAGTAACTGTAGGCAGTAGTTCAAAAGGAAGTTCTGTTACAGTACAGACCAAAAAATTTAAGTTCTTACACTGTATAAAATATGTAATTATTGCTGAACTTCTGCATATGCCTTAAATACTGAGCTGTGAGTGTGGACTGCTCTTTAATGTGTTCAACAGCCTTAATGCTGAAACCTATACAAGGAAATAATTATTACAATAGCATTCACAAAGCACAAAACCGAGATATTCTTTCACTGAAACTTCTCCAGTTCCAACAAAGACAGCATTCAAAAAAAAAAAAAAAAGAAAAAAGCATTCCAAAGACCACTGTAGATGCTGGACATAGACCGATTCTTGAGTCAAAGACAGACATCCGCCAGCCAAAAGGAATAACTCGAACAAAGGAGAGACTTTCAAGTTTCAGACTTTCAAGTTCGAGACCTCTAATTTGAACTTATCTGTTTTCATATATCAGTAGGTTCAGTGGAGTTAGAAATATCCAGTATGTGTAATGAAAACAATCCCTATCAGTGGATACAGCATGAACATGATAATATATGTTTTCCAACCCTAGAGCAATTGTCAAGCAATTACTATTTGTCAAGGTAACACAGTTGATAGTCAGGGTCATCTAACCCTAGATCATCTCCTTCTACCTTATTCTGAGGCAGGTCTCAGTAACTCAGCTGCCCAGCTTTCTTTGATTTGCTCTGAATGTAATTTGCAGATGCAGGTTTCTCTCCCTACACACAGTGAGGAAACCGAGGGAGGCGGTGGCAGCAGCAGCAAAGGGTTGCACTTTCTGCACCACGATGGCTCATATAAGCAACAGCTGCTGGGGTTTTGTTCTAAAACGAAGGAGGGCCTGTGCGGGTCAGAGGGGACTCCTGGACAACTGATTATTAACCAGGGCTTTCTAAAGCACTTGCAAGGCCCATATTGTGTTTGTTTAGGACCCAGAACTACAAGTGCATGTTATAAGCAGACTGGATGAATTGGTTTGTGTCCCTGAGTTCAATTATCAATTCTAGCTAAAACAGAAAGGATAAGAGCTTTGTCTTAGTAAGCCTATTTTGGTCTGGTTTTACATTTCCTTTTTTTTTTTTTATTTTAAAGGCCCTTATTCAACTAAATATATCCCCTATACAAAATATGATTCTTTTTGCTATCCAGATTGTGATTTCATGCCTGTACAATTTTTATTTAACCATCTATATAATGAACTTGTGATTCTTAATCTTTACATTTTATAATATAAAATTAATGGCTTCTCTTTACTATGACTTGGTCTTCCAATTATAATTTATAAAAGTGTGTGTGTAGATGGAAAATGGAATTCAATCCAAATGTAATAAAGAGCCCTTCATTTTTTATCAGTTAAATTAAATAACCATAAATGTACATAACATTTAAGAAAAAAAAAGTTATCAGAACATGCTGCATTGAAAACAGATTCATTCAGCAAGAACTGATCACTGCTAGTTCGTGAACTTAAATGATTGTTTCTGGCTAGCACAACCTTCAAGACTTTGGAACTAGTACATCTCACCCTCTTACAGATTTCATTCATGGACCTGAAGAGAACAAATGACATTACCTGCTTTTTCATCTCCCAGTGGATTTTTCAACTTTGAACATACTAGTCATTAACATAAACTGGATTAAAAGAGAAAAGGAAAAGCTATCAGAAGCAGGTTCCACATTCTGCAGGTTATAGTTCCAACTGCTCTGCCAGTGACTTCCACCCCTTCAGCGGTTTGACTTTATCTAAAACTTTGGCATAAAAAACCGTGCAACTCAGTATTATTGTGTTATTTTAAAATACTATAGTAAATTTAACTTTAATACTGGCTCCCTACTTTCATAATTAAGCAGTCTTGTTAAAAAAACAACATTTAATTTAAATAAAGCATACGTATAGAATTCATTAAAGACATATTAATCATTCCAGGAGGCCACAAAAGGAACCGAAAATGTGAATTCCTTCCTTTCTTTTTTTGTCAGCCATTTACACTACAGTATGTTCAAACCAGAATGGGTTCCTACTGTGCCTGTCGGTGTACATACAAAGTTAAAGAGACAGAGCCCTGGCACAGAGGTTTGCCTTCATTTCCTCAACACCTGAGGTGGTAGAAATAAGAAAACAAACAGGATAGGGTTTTTTTTTCAGTGCACTGGCTGTTCAGGTGCAGATTTACCAGAAGCAGGAGGCACAGGTTAAAAGGATACTATGGTGAGTTCTAGATCCTGCCCTGTTCCTCCATCCATTCTTCCCCTCCCCAAGCTCTAGCTGCACCTATGCCTATCTACTGAAAATTGGAAGGACTTCTGGTTAACCAGGGAACTGAACATAAGCATTGACCACCTTAATCTCTGCTAAAAATAGAGACTTCCCATTAAATTTCCTTGTTCTTACTTAGTGACTTAGGAGGATAAGCTGTCAGGACAACTTCCTAAGTTTAAAGGAAGAGAAGGAAAGTTATTTCTGAGAATGTCCAAAGGCTTTGATCCTGGCTTGCTGTATTTTGGAATAGATCTGTGGATTTGATTTATTCACTTTACAAGGATCAGAATGAAATTCCTCTTCCCAAATTACTGTGATGGAAACAACACTATCCCACAGATTTTTTATTAATTTTCTTGCTGTTCTCTTTGGCAGGCTCAAAGATTTCTTTGAAATAAAGAAAATCTGAAGGCCAGCATAAGGAACAAGTCACTACTCAGAATTACAATGGTAACAACAAGTTTCTAGAGAGATGAAAAAGAAGAAATTTTGGTTTAGGTGAAGGCAAAATTAAGTGAGGAAAAAGAGGAGAAGTAGAGGCATTTCATTAACATGTTATAAAATCTTTGAAATACTACGGACTATGAAGTTAGCAAAGCTGAGTGTGCAGTAAAAGGAATGAGAATGACTGAGATTGACTATAGTTGATTGAATTTTAAAGAGGGCAAGGTCCTAAAAGTATTTTGTTTCATTTTTGCAAAGACTGTGAGTAGGTCAAGATGCATAAATAAACATTACTTTAAGAATACTAGAGAGGTCAGACTGGTTCAGGCCAGGCATACACTTGGCCCATTTACCTATCTACAACAGCTGTCATAAGCCAATTCTTATCCAAATATTCTCTCAGTGAACAGCAGGCCCAGGACAAGCACATTTGATAATGCCCATAGGTTCCAGCATCCAACTTTGTTTTACCTTGGAGGGTTTCCTGAACCTGATGTGGTTTGTCTAGTTAGTGACCTTTACTAGATCTCTCTGCCAGGGTCTTGTGCAGTCTCTCCTTAGATCAATGAGAACTTCTTTAATCCATACTGTCTTTAGTTACATAATGTTGTGAGTATATTACCCATGAACATGTAAGCTAATATAATTTATTGTATTATTTGCTTTGAACATGCCTACTGCTAGTGTCCTCTGAAGCACCCTCATTTATTTATTGATAGAGAAGGTGAAAAGTTGGTTCCTGTCCATACTTTTTGTCTGTGATTTTAAAACATCTATTGCTATTTTGAAGAAGCAAATTTTGGTATTTGTTAGAGGGGTGCTGTAATTACAGTCTGAAGAAGACTCCATTGCCCCTGGTCTGGAAATCTATTTCTTCTTAGGTCTGCCAATAAACCACCAGTTTGCCTGCTATCTGTGGCAGATGCTGAAGCTGCTATTGCAAAGAAGTCCTTCCAAGATCTTGAGAACTGGAAGCTTAGATGAGCACATTCTGACAGAGCCATTCTTTTCCACTGTTAGGGAAGATGCATTAGAGGAAAAGATGCAGTTGTGCATATTGTGCTCTTAAAACCCTGCTGGTCTTTCTGCAAGCAGAATCTAAAAAAATAGTAGGGAGTGGAAATAAAGATAAGAAAATTTGCCAATCCACATAAATCAGCCCCATTCAAAGCAAATTACTTGCTAATAACTAAAGCTCAAGGAAGCAATGTAAACTCTATCTAAAATATGAAGCAGAAAACTGAAGACAAAGTAGTTCAAGCCTCCTCTAAAGGAGAAAGGCATTGTTTTTTGAGTTTGCCAGGAGACTCTAAGTGGACACAATTAACATCATAATAAAACCAGCAGAAGCTTTTGAGAGTTTCCTATTATTTCAGTAGGAGAGTCATATATACCCATGCAGTATACTCCCATTTTCTCTACTATGTGTTTTACAAGGCACAGAAATATTTCTCAAGCAGGCAGGAAAGCCCAGTTTCTATTAGTAAAGAATTATACAGATAGGTAAGAGAGGTCTCCATTCTTAGGTAAAAATATAAACAACACCCTTTTAGAAATCTTACTGCAAGGTAAGGTATATTGTACTGCTCTACAGAAGATAAGCAGCTATTGCAGAAAAAATGGACTTTGAGGGAAAATATGTTAACTCCACTTAGTGTCAAAACTATTGCACAGCCCCATGCTACTGAAGTAGAAGAGGTTAAGGGATACCGATGATGCCAAGATACTCAAACAGAAAGTCTTTTCATTTAGGTTTGTGAGTAACTCTAGTTAAAGTGACTCTATTAGACACAAAATGATCTGTACTGTTGCAAAATAGTTTCTGTCAGCAGATTTCACCTAAGCAACGCCCAGTCTATCAGCTATAATCCTACTGGGTTTGGCTGCAGGATCTGATTATTATTTCAGAAGAGTATGTCTGGCTAAGCAGGTAAAGAGAATGTACTGAAAGTTTCACAAGACACAAAGAAAGGCAAAAAACAAACAAAAAAAGGCACGCAAAGCCCATATTATTAAACAGGTAAACAAAACATTTTGTCAGGAGCTCTCAGCATCCCTCTAGTTAGAACAGACACCTATTTGTATCTGTTATGAACAAGCACACATTTAAAAGTCCCCCTTTGAAAAACATAACTCTGGAAGACAGGTCAGTCCTGTTGACTCCCTGCTACGATGGTTAGATATGCTGAAGGTTAGAAATGCTCGAGAGCCTCTAACATTATCGGCCCTAATCCCAAATGTTGCCTGGTTCTGACTGGTTTAACTCAGAGCCATATGTCACATGAAAGTTCTTGCCCCTCAATGGCTTGTTGACAAATAGATAATTAATTATCACACTAACTATCGGCACTCGTTTGGGAAGTCCCTGAAAAACAAACCCAAATTTACTTTCTGTTCAAGACAGAGGGCACTGACTGAAATAATTATACGGAGAGAAAGCATCTCCTGAACATCCCAGAGATTTTGAATGGGAGCAAATCCCTCTCTCTGTCACCCAGACCCTTGGTAATTTGAGGTATGAAGGTGACACTGTAATAAGTGTCATTTGTTCAAAGTTTAATGAGGAAAGGACTTCTTTATGTACCCCAGACATCTGATGCAGCATGTACCAGGTCATTGCAAGGCTGTGTTTTTAATCAATTTTGTGCACAATGTAGATAAAGTACAAAATGTTTTGGGAGAGACTATAATTGCTGAGATGTTTTCACTGATCTTAAAAGATGACCTACAAGCTGATTTAGTGGATCTGTTGCTGTCTAGGATCTCTCCTCTGGGAAGTAAAAAGCTCTATATAACATGATGTATAACAGCAAAACCATAACCAAGTGTTTTAAATCAATGTTGTTTTTGTAAGTCTGAGAACTGTTGATCATATAGTTTTAGACTTGTGTGAACTGAATCAGTGATCTGTTGTGGTACTACACCTCAATCCTTTATCTTCTGAGGCAGGCTGTGATGATGGCTACTTTTTCTGGGAGGAGGCATCGCAAACACAAAGTCAACAGAAAATTCCTGCTTGTTTCACAACAAAGACTGAAGAGTAGCACTCTGTAATATAATCTAGAGTTCCTATGAGGAATCCAAGGTCTTTTCTCTGCTGCATGGATCCCTATGTAAAAATAGACATCTTGCAGGCTGGCAGTTCAAAATCCCTGAGGATTAGTGATTGGTTAGAAGATTATGGATACTACTCCAGACTGAATTTGAAATACCAAATGAAATTGCTGAGGCACCAATAGTTGACACAGAACTGCCAGCCCCCTCACCCTTTCGGTAAAGTTGTAGAGACAGAAGGCCCTGTCACTGATTTGTAATGGTACATTTGCTTCTGCAATCAGTCATAGAAGGGAACCTATTTCTGGTGTTTATTGTTTCTAATAAGCTAGATAGCTTGTTATAGAATAAAAGAGAGAAAAGCCACGGGGCCAGCAAGTCACTCAGCACTAGGTATGACATGGTACTGAAATACAAAGAAAATTGCTATTATCAGGGCTATAAATACATAAAGCACTTAACACAAAGCCAGTCACTATCAAGGCCCCTGCAGGGAATGCCAGGGTATGCAAGTAATAAAATTGATCTTTTTAGGACCTGGACTCTAAAATACACATATCAAAGACATGCCATATTGCTGATGAATCTTTCATCCCTTGCTACATGCCTGGGCAGCAACTTGTGTTGAGAATCACATTCTTCTTGCCTCCATCAGTCTTCTCTGCCAATACAAGTGGACCCTGATACTGGATATGTCCCAGAAGATCAGAATCACAGGTTTTAGGACACTGAATAAGAGAGACTGTCTTAAATCATAACTATAGCTTTACTCGTGGAATTTAGCAACCAATTGATTTCTGTTTAAGGGACTGTTTAAGAAGGAGGTCTCTCCCTCCCCTGCTGTATGTTTCCTCTTGGAAAGAGGAAATGTTACTATGGGATATCTTGCTCTCCAAAGAATCACATTAAGGGAAATCTTAAACCCCAGTAACCTATGACTCCTTTATCCATATATAAAGAGATATATCTAGTATGTTAACTCAAACTATATTTTGCTAATGGTCATAAGGGGACTTAATTTACTCCATGAAATTAATTATACTATCACAAATAAAGTTAAGTAAATCACACAGTGCATGTACTGCATTATTTCCATCTCTGTGGTATGATGAAAATAATGAAATCATCAATGGTTGTACTCACATGGCTATTTAATGCCCTGAGGACAGTGGACATGAAGGTGCTTCAAGTAGTAGTCTGCTGATACCATTTAATGGACTCTGCTTATCCAAATAATTTGTCCTTGCACTCTAGGGACACATGCACACCAGCAATGAAATCCATCTACACAACCACTCAAAGAAGCATCCAAAAGCATCCCAGATGAGTTATTAATGTTCTTTGTAGAAACTGGGCAATTAAAATAACTCTGTGCTTTGGCCAACTTGAGTGGAAAACCAGGCTATACAAAGTAACACAAAAACTGCATTAATAAAGTAACTACTTCTTTATACTGTTGCTGTACCTCACACTGTTAGTCTGGAGAGCCCAAAACTACAATAAATGCAATTTCTAGTTTTCTAAATAAAATATTTTCATAATTATGATGTTTTCTTATCTATTTCTCAAAACTGGACAAAAATTATCCACACTCCTAAACACTAACGTTTACACTTTCCAACCTATCTCTTTCTGATGTAGAGTTTGTACTACTTTGTTCAGTCCAATTGTGGTTACATTAAATATGGGGATTACATTACATTATTAAATCTGCTAAAACAGAATAACTCAGAATAACTGCACACCATGTTTTCCCAATTCTACCTCCAATCATAGATTCTCCTGCCAAGTTAAATAAATATTATATCATTCCAGTTTCCTTATATGTGCTGTTTACCACACTTAATCAAAGTGCATATATTTTTTATTCCTAACCACACTTTAATTATTCTTACTGTTTCTGAATGTCCTTATTTAATCTGTAAATAATATTTTTTAAATTATTAAATTATAATTTCATTAACACCTTTGAAAATGGGGGTTAGATCCTTCTATATTATTAACTCTGTATGTTTCTGAGTATTCATACTATCCAAAAGAGACCCAGGCACCTTGCTGGGGATTGATTTCTGTAGTAGTTGTGCCAGGCCTCTGAAGATATGCAGAAAAACTAAATTTCTCATCATAATAAATCCCCTCTGGTTAAGTAAATACTCTCTGTAGTCAGTCAATTTTTTTTAAACTGTTCAATAAAATATTAAATGGGAAAGCTTAAAATATAGTTTGCATTTTCAACTGTAAAAATGAATGTTCGTTCACAGTAACTATTAAGTTAATATACATGTTGAGAAGCAAGTTGTCACAAGTAAAACCAGATAACCTGAGGTTTCAATTGTAAGTAAAAGGAGTCTTAGTATTTTTTCATTTTTCTCCATTTGTTCAATTGATCAAGGCATTTTGCAATTTAGAACCATTATTCTTTCTTCATGAAGCATCTTCGATCGTAAGTTACTTCTTCGACTGTCATGAGAAGTCAAGTCACATAACTTTCAGAGGCCTTTTTAAAGCAGTATTCACTTCTATCCAGGAATTATGTTTTCCTATGCTTGTAAAAAAGTGTCAGTTAAACATTCTAAAGTTATTTGCTGGACATGTTCCTCCAAAAACTTCTCTCACCTATACTGTTTTTCTTCTATATAAACTGCATTACTATAAAGATGCAGTGGTATGTAACTCATATTCTTGAATAATTCTATTCAAGTTTACAACAATCTTTCTCCAGATCAGCTTGTATTATAAAGGTTGTAAGACTTTGGTGGTCTCTTTGTAAGTTAATTCTCAAATATCATAAGCAGATGCTTCCTACTTTAAAAAAACAACCAAACAAAAAAAAAAAAAACAAAAACAAAAAACTAACCAAACAAAAACAAGCAAGCAAACAAACAACCAAAAAAACAACCAAAACCAAACCATAAACCAAAGCCAGGTAAATCTAAATGATTCAAGTGTAGTATTAAATAGAAAAGTTATACTGGAACCCCTTGGTTCCTTATCCAGTTAACAAGACACAACAAGCTACAAAAGTGAAGGGGTGCTACTTTTCTTATTTAATCTTCCTCTCTGGGATGTTAACTGAGTGAAAGCTACTTGATTCTCTGTACACAATTCACATTTTTAATACAGCTGCTTCTAATAATTGAAATGTTTCTAACACAATTTGAGGGGTGAGGGTACAATAAAAAGTCCATTTGCAAACGTTCACAGCCTTTCCTGTCACAGACCCAATACAAGAAAAACCACTAGAAGATAAACACTTTAATTTGAAGACTTTAATTACTGTTTGATATGAACACATAAGTCCTTAAGCACCTAACAGAATTCTTAGAAAGCACAGACATGCTAGCCAGTATTCTGAATAGACTGAATTCTGTCAGTATTCTGAATAGTCAAATGATCCTCATTCCTTCAATATTCTTGCTCTTATGTTATATATTTTATGCTCTAACAAAAGCATATACATGGATTATTCCTGTTTTAATCAAGGCCATGAATGTTGGTAACATGTACCATACATTTTCTTTAATGTTGTTTTTTAGTACAGAAAAATAAAATAACTTGAGGTTTGGAGCAGAAATGCAAGTGATATTTTCTAATATCACTAACTAATTTCACTTTAGGGTTCCATTATCACAGCATAGATACTAGGTTTCATTTTTATTACTAACAGACTTTATTTATCACTGTAAAAATAGTCCATTAACCACAGAAAGTAAAATTCACCATCAAAGTTCTGGTTTTGTTTAGGAATCAGACTTTTTCAGATATTCTGTCAAATAATAAACCCTAGTCATCTATATCTGACTTAAAAGAAACTATATGTGTTTTGAATTCAGAATATTTCCCTGTAATACCTACAAAGGTATACATACCTGAGGAGTGTGTGCTAGATAGAATTAGAAGCCAAGAAAAAAGGGTATTGACCAGCTTCCTGACCAGAGAACCAAGCAGTGTAAGGAGAACAATAGCACTGCTTGTATGAACAGGTAACATGCTTTATCCTTATTGATGAACTGTAAATAGAAATTATATGTATATGAATTTTAAAATTTAAATAAGTGAAAATTAAAATATACAAAGGCATACAAAATTCAAGAATACATCTTTCAGCAAAAAAAAAAAATGATACCTGCATTTATGATGATTTATCATGCGTTTGGACTATCCGATTTCATCTCCACATTCCAACTTATTTTTCAAATTACTTCTTAATATTCCAGATTATTTATTGTGTGGAGCCAACAGTTATAAAAGAAGATAAGTGTAAGAGCATTTTGATGACAGAAACTTTTTGTCTAATCCATTCTAAATTGCCAGTGAGGAAGATGCTGCATCAATGACAGATAGGTTGGTTCCAGTTTTTAACTGTCCTTGTACTTAGAAGGATTTTCCAAATATGTAGCCTGTTATTTTTGACTGCAAACTAAGATAATTTTTTTATTGTTCTTCCACAACTGGATACAAAAGACAATTGGTGACCATCTTCTTCACAATGATCTTCAGATGTCATATTATTTTCCCCAGTCTGCTCTTGACTAAACAAATACAACTCTTTTGAAACATGCCTTATAAATCTTGCTTTCCAAGAATGTTTTCACTCTTGTTCTTCTATGGATTCTCCTCTACATGAAAATTGAAATAATTTTCCTTTTTCAGACTTTATTTTAACACAAATAAAACAATTTTATTCACTGACTTTTACTCTGGCCATTTTGCATGAGTGTTCTTTGATTTTGCTTCATCTGTAAATGGCAGTATCAACATTACTTGAAATTTTACAATTACTGTAGAGCAGTAGGCCCCACAGACTCTTGAAAAAAATACATCTTTATATCTCAGTAACTTTTCTGGAAATGAGTAATAACAATTTTCTTTGAATCTAGAGTAAGTAACTTTTTCTTACTTTTTCCTTTTCTTCAAAGAACTGGATAAAACAGGGATTTCGTTTATATCTTCTTAGTTTTACAGTTAATAGCTAAAACAAGAATTATGCTATTCTTAATAAATAAGCAGACAGATAGATGGATGGACAGACAGGCATAAATCTAGTTTTTCACTGAGAATCAAGCATAACAGAAGGGAGATTTGACTCAAAGCCTGTATCTCTCTCTATTGTCTCAAAAAAGGTAATGTCTGCTGAAATAGAGTTAGAAGGTTGTTGCTAGTTGAAGTATGCTATGGAGTCTCTCTTTGATGATTACACAGTTACTTGTTTGTGGTAAAGGTATGTCATGCTTTACATTGTTTTCAATGAGTTTTGCCAAAATAAAGAGGAAATATTCTGGACCAAGAAAAGTAAAACAAAGGATGTCTGAAAATAACAGATCAATTCTGCAGTGGTGACCTGTCTTCACATTTTTTACCAAATGTCTGCCTTTAGAGAATCTAGTTTCTTTACTTTTTTTTATCACAAATAGTTTATCCCAGGAATCTTCAAATTATGTGCTTGGAAAAAAGGGGGGAAAATAAAAGGAAGTGATAAACTGCACAGCAGTTTATGAAATTTAGCCCAGATTTTCTGCTTCTTTGCTCTACTTCACTTGTGCAGACCACGGAACTATACCATAGTCACATGTGAAAGTTCTTCTCAGAAGTGGTTTCTACAGTTTGGTTTTGCTTTTTAATATTCATATAGTTTAGTCATAGGTTACTTTCACAATGAATTCCTGAAATTTAGTAGTTGTTCTTTGTAATCTAGTTAATCTATCCATCTGCAAAATGTGCATGATGCCTAGGTGTACTCTCAATAGACTGAGTACATAGGCTGAAGGGCTCCCAGCAGCACTGCACTCCTGCTCAGAGACACCCAATCTCCACCTCCAGAAAAGCCTCTACCCCTTCAGCCAAACTTCTGAATGCAGTTATTTTCTCCTTTCCATACTCCAACTTAGCTTCCAGCAGCTCTTACAAACTATGTCCCCCCACTTCCTCAGGAAACATAGAGAGGCAATCCCCCAGCAAATGATTATTTAAGCAGGAGTGATGGGCACAGAGTGTATTCACCATGAAGGGAGAAGCAGTCTATGAAAACTTCTCTAGCAGACAGTTGTACCTGCAGTATCTGCCATAAGATTTTTCAGAATGTCTTTTTGCAGAAGTCTTCAAACTACTCTTTTCCTCAAAACAGGAACTACCAGTTCTGGTAGTTCAGACATTAGGTTTAGAATATGTAATGTACTCAGAGAGAAGTGGATAACTTCAAGTATTTTGTTTGGATGTTTCATGTAATTTTCTAAAACTATACTCAGGGGCATCCCAGTATTATAATTTTATATAATTCACTTGCATTTCCAAATTACAAGATCATTATAAGAAAGAATACTTCTTTGTTTCAGCTAGGTATGTAATATATGTGACAGATTTGCTCTATGTTATTCTTCATCTATATAATTCTACTTTCTTATATTCTTCATTGACATTCTCTTGCTTTTTCAAATGTAGTTTCTATTATCGGCAAAAATATGTTCCTACTGATGTCAAAGCAAGCCAAAGGTACAGAATTGTACATTCAGACTACAGAAGTGATTTTTCCTAACATAGTTCCCTACTGTGCTGCATATCTGGTTGATGGCAATACAGTAAAGCCAGAATAGCCACTTAGTTCCTCCAGAAAAGCTGCCTGCGTTTCTGCAGGACTGCTTCTCCAAATACTAAATTAACAGGAAAATTTATGCTGAATAGTTGTTAGGATGGTCTATTTTCTTATCAGTGTTCCATTAAGAATAATTTCCTATTAAGAACTGTTTCCAAACACCTACTTCCAATTTTACTTCTCAAACTCTGGCTATTTTTGTTTGATTTATAGCATCCTAAAAGTTTGCCCATTTTATTTCATTTATGTCCTTTATGTTGTCAGCACCCACCGGAGTAGCTGATACCTTTTCAGAATCTGCATGTTGTTTTTATCTGAGCAGTTTATTTCCTCTCTTTACCTCTGAGTGACTTAAAAGATAATACTCAACTGAACCCTAACAGATCATATTCCAACATTGTCTGACTTGCCACATTTTCCTTTTCTTTTTTATTTTCTGTCTTCGGATTGAAGATGTTAATCTCAGGTCACAAAGTAGTCTATGAATGTAAATTTATTTTTTCTTTTTGTGCAGTTTTTTCTGCACAAAGTTTTCTACAACCTATAAAACTAGAAGTTATCATGAAACTAACTGGTCAAAATATGACCTGGAACCTAATAGTAATTATATCACATGCTGAAAAACTGTCCAGGTAGTACAGAGATTACGCTAATCCCAAGACATTATTGCATATCCTTCTTTGAAAACTGTATAAATATTCAGTAGAATCCTTATCCCATCATGTGCATGATGAGGTGACTATTTTATATTGAAGCATGTCCACTTCAGCATTAGATCCTTCTTGAAAGTCTCAGAATAAAATGCTATAAGCATTAATGCATTATATTTCAGGCTTTTATCCTACAAGGAGGTCCACACAGGTGGGACCCAAACTTCATTTTAATAATGAAGTAAATCCATTTACCCAAGTGGTCCTATACTGACTTCTTTATTGTAACCTTGCTTATCTTGATAAGAATATTCACTCATCTAACTGGCTTTACAGTTTCAATTTTAAATGCTTTTACATCAGTCAAGTACTGTTTTTCCTTTTATTGTCCTCCTCTGACTTTCTTAATTTACCAGGTTTTATTTTATTAGATTTTTTATGCTTTCTTCCCTTTTAATTGTCACACATTATACCCAAACTTAATACGTTCATTGACATTTATGGTCTGAAAGATACCTATAGATTACTGGTTTTCATGCCATTGCATTTTTGATTTAGAGCAGGCTAGTACAGTTGTAATTATTGTCAACTGGATGTAGCGCATAAGATTACATCTGTGTTACTGAGCTAAACAGGGCTCAGGCACATGCTTGAGCTCCATCATATGATAATCCACGCCATTTAGCTGTTAGCCTGCTCTTTGGTATGCTTCTCACCTAGGCCAGCAAGCACTCAGGTAAGACACTGCAGGATGTGGGGAATAGCGTGGGTTAGGGAGTCTTCTTATAGGCAGTATGAACAAGGCCACCCTGGCTCAAGAGAGCAAATGGGTTAGCCAGGCAAATGTGAGCTGTAATTTGCTAATGACTCTTGACTGGGTTGTGGAGCATTTTGTTTTCTAGTACAGATGTGATCCAAGAAGTTAAATGCCATCAAAAACTGGTAGAGTGCCTTCTTATGAACCTGTTACCAGACCTGTGCAAAGGATTTGAGCTGTTGGCATGGGAGAAGGGCAGACAAGGGTTGACTGTGACTTCCCCATGGCAGGCAAACTCTCAGCCTGTGAGTACGAGTGGATCTTGGCTACCTTGTGCTAACTCCCGTGGACAGAACTGGGGTACAGAATCTGGACCCCTTCATATCTTCAGGTACTTTTCTATACTTTCCATTACCATTTCTGTTAGCTGCCTCTTCAACTATCTTTTCAAATAAATGTTCTGATTTGTAGACAGTGGTCTTAGATTTCCTTTTATTCAGTAGTATTCTACTGGAAACAAAGAAAAAATTAAACACTCGAGAAACTTGAGAAAAATCTGCTTTCTAGTGTTTCTTTAAAAGTCTGACACGTTTTCAGAATATATTACCCAAATGATACTAAGTCAATAATTAGGCTCCCTTAGACAGCATCATATGGTCCAAGCTCTCCTTCAGTTTATCTTTGCATGATGGCAAGTTTAAAGTTCCCATTTCCAATTCTGTTTTATTTTCACCTACTTTATACTTCACTAAACATTTATTTACAGCAGAATCTTTCTCATAGTCTATCGTAATGTTACTGCTGAACCAGTTATCTGCTATTACTCTTCAAACTCATTACCTTCCCATCAGTGATTTTCACGATATATTTTTTCTGGTCTTTCTATGAAACCAGAAGATTTGTACAGTCATAAGGTCTTAATTCTGGATCTAGTATCTCTTTTTTCCTGATCGCTATCAGATCCAGGACTGAATTAACTCTCATTACTTCTTCCAGTTGTTTTAAGTACTATACAAAAATATCCTCCTGTAACCTACTTTGAAACACCTCTTGCATGTAACTCAAATTCTTCTTTTACAGCTTTTCATACATTTTCATACACATAGCAATATATCTATATATATCATACATATAATATGCCTGTATATATATATGATAATCATAGAGATCCTCATAAACCTAGAGAAAGACAAATTAATCAATCCTTCAACACAATCTTCAGGGATTTCGCATCTTCTATTTTCATTTGTGAAATTATTTCTGTGTCTGACAGCCATGTGAATTTCAGGATCTGCAAGCAGAGTGGTTGTTTTATAAATTATGCTTCTCTCACCTTATATTCCTTATATTGCAACAGATAGTTATATTCTATTTATGTCTTAGCCAGACTTGTTTGTAATGTGATCAAAGAACACTTCTCGGAATTTGTAGTGGTACTGCACCTCTCAAGATTTAGATACACACCTGTACCTAAGCTGTGTTTATGAACAGAAAGACTTATTCTTTCATGATTATTTCCTGCAGGACTTTATAGATGAAGTATGTTTTCACATCTTGATGTAGCAATTCACTCAGCTTTATTCTCCTCCTGTAGATGTTTCCCTGTGGTTACACTTACTCAT